ATATTTGTTTAAGGAAAAGAAAAATATTTCTCTCCAGTGTTCCCCTCTGGGTCTCTTTGTTTGCTTGTTTTTAATATGAGAGCGCTCTGCCTTGCCAGTCACCTGGGGCTTTAACCAGGTCATTAAATACTCCGTGGCCAGGTCAGACCTTGGAGAAAGTGACGTGGATGGCCCAGAGAGGGGGAGTGACCGGCTGCAAATCACACAGCAATTTTGCCAGGATTCCATAGTGGTGGGCGAACTAGTGTGTGGGGAGCTATCTTCCGAGGAGCCACCAGTGTGGGGGAGAGGATGAAAGGCAAAAAAAATACTTTATAAGGGTGCGCCTGGAACCAGCTGAGCCTGAAGTTGATATAGCTGCAGGGTTAGGGGAGGAGGCACTGGAGCCTCAGGGTTGGAAACTGACCTGCTTCCTGCTGGGCTCGGCCTTGCTTCGGTTCAGCCTGGCTTCCTGACCATGCTCCCTGAGGCCCCAAAGTGAACAGGAATGTGGGACATCTTCTAGATGTCCACATGGGCAGGGGACCTTGAAACAGCTAGCCTGCAGGTCTGAGGGGGACCTTGAAACAGCCAGCCTGAGGTCCGAGGGGTGGAGCCCCAGCTCCTGACCATGAAGAGGACCTAGTTGACAGGACTGGAGGATGGGGCATAAAAAGATAAAAAGTAGGAGGTAAGGGCATTGCCCAGGATGCTAAAGTGGACATTGAGGGGTCTCCCAGAAGAAGAGGAATTCCAAGCCGGAGACTGGGGACCTGGCCAATTCCTGCGGAGGTGCTAGGTTTCTGTTGGAAATCGGCTCAGCTGCGGGGGGTTTGGAGATTCCAGGGAGCCCACGGAAAGCCTGGATGCATGCAAAAAACGCTAAATAAAATATTAGCGAATGGAGTTCAGCTGGGCTTTCGAGAGACCCCCCTACTGGGGACCTGCGGGGGTGTATTTTAAAAAAAAGCCAAGGAAATTCGCAAGGTCGCCTTGAATGGAAAGATGAAAGGCAAAACATACCACGGGTTCATCTCACCGTGCTGAAATAACACTCCGGGACCCCCGCCAGTGTTTACAGCATTCCGGACGCGGAGAATAGGAAGACGCGAGCCCTGATCGAAGATGAAGATGGGGATTACGATGGAGCTGCCTTGGGCGAGCCAGATCACGCGGTGGTTAGGGCAGCGGGATCCGCGCCTGCGAGCCCAGATTCCCAAGAGGAGAATGGAGGAGAAGGGACTGCGGCCTGGCTGTCTCTCTCCATGGGGACGGTCATGTCTGACTGTCCCTCTCATTGTCTCTGTCTCTCTTCTCTCTCCCCCAACGTACTTGCCCTAAGTCGAGAAGAGAGAGAGAGAGAGAGAGGGAGAGAGAAAGAAATAGAATTGGCTACGGATCACCCCATGGCCAAGTGGTTAAGGGAGCCAGAGCCCACATGGCTGGGACTGTGGTTCTAATCCCAGCCCTGGGAGCTGGAAAAACATACCAGCCAGGAGTGCATCTTACTAAAAACCCTGACATAAGGAAGAAATGGAGAGGAAAGAGATTGCGGGGTGACCATACCCCACTGGGGCTGGTTTTTTTCCATCTTTTGTAAGCACAGAAATCAGCTTCCTCTTATTGGATGATAAAATAGGAGACAGGGACCAGTAGAAGGCGTCATGGCTATGTTGCCGGACTCCCATGTAGTGGACTGCAGTTCGAGTCCTGGACCCGGTGGCTTCAACTCACCCCGGGCGCGTGTGCGTGCGTGCCCAAGATCCCGAGAGGAGAATGGAGGAGAAGGGATTGTGGCGTGACCATCCC